CTCTCTCTCTCTCCTTTCCTCTCTCTCTCCCTCTTTCTCTCTTCTCTCTCTCTCTCTAGCTCTGCACATGTTCACATGTGTGTGTGTGTGTGCACTCATGTGTGTGTGTGTGTGTGTGTGTGTGTGTTGGGGTGGTGTTTCATTTTGTTTTATGTGAGGTAGCATAGTTCTTTTTTATGTGTATTGCTAGGTTATCCAAATGAGAGAGACCCAGAGAAAGTGAAATATAAATGAAGCCACTTGATCTCCAGACTGGAAAGATCTACCTGCAACCATGCCCATCCATGCTTTGGGCTATGTACAACAGTCCCTAAAACTGTATAAAAAACCAACTGACCTGAACATCTACAGTGTCCTCCTTACAGACCACCACTCTCTGATCAGGGGAGAGCTTTCATTTTATGCTTTCTAACACACACACACACACACACACACACACACGTTTGGCCACCCCCACCCTTGCCATTTGCTGCAGCCATTTACACCAAGTTGTGGAGATGTTTAGCCAAAAACTGATTTTATGCTAAAAACAAGTTGCATTCCACCAGTATAATTCTTTTGTCTGACCCACTAGATTGCTTCTTCTTCTCTTAGAATTAATAAGTAACAATCATCAGTAAGGCTCTCAATTCAAGTAAGCTAGAAAACATTGTTAATTTCATTGCCTATCTTTCAGCTAATGTGGTAGTTTCTTTGTTTTGTTTCAATAGATTTTATGGTCATAGTAGAAATCACAATACACTCAGGAAGGTTTGGGAGGTTTTTTTTTTGTTTTTTTTTTTTTTTTTTTTTTACAAGGGATCAAACTCAGGACCTTGTGCTCACCAGGCAAGCACTTATTCCACTGAGCTATCTCCCCAGCCCAGTTTGGGGGATTATAATGGGATACATAAAGGATAACTGGAAAGTTACATATATAAATAGTAAAGGAGTGAAAGTGACACTCTCAAATTGTAATCATTATTCTCAAAATAATCTGCATATTAATCACATAATACCAATTCCCAGATGCATAAACTACAATCCCTCACTTTCTAATTTCCCTTTCTCTAAATGCACTTTCACGTGTATAACCCATACTTAATCTATAATCTTGGTTCTTCTTTTCCCATCTGAGGTGGTGGCCAGTCTCACCTCCTTATCAGCTCCATTTTATCATTTCTATGGTTTTCTTTTCCCTCAGGTCCGAGAACAGCCTGAGCATCTTCCCACCTCCGTAGGGTGGCTGCAAAGCCCCAGCGCGTTCTTCTCTCTCGGATCTTCAGTCTTCACCCTGCTCAGTCATGAATGAGGAGTATGACATGATCATGCTGGGCACTGGCCTGACGGAATGTATCCTGTCAGGTATAATGTCAGTGAATGGAAAGAAAGTTCTTCATATGGATCAAAATCCATATTATGGAGGAGAAAGTGCATTCTATAACACTGCTGGAAGATTTAAACAAAAGATTTCAATTACCAGGAGTACCTCTTAAGTACTGACTTAATTCCCAAGTTCCTGATGGCTAATGGTCAACTGGATAAGATGCTGCTTTATACAGAAGTTAGCCGATACATGAATTTCAAAGTGATTGAAGGGATCTTTGTTTATAAGGAAGAAAAAATCTATGAGGTTCCTTCTACTGAAGCAGAAGCCCTGGCATCTAGTTTAATGGGACTCTTTGAAAAACATCGCTTCAAAAAGTTCCTGGTATATGTTGCCAACTTTGATGAAAAAGACCCTAGAACGTTTGAGGGCATTGATCCTAAGAAGACCACAATGAGAGATCTGTATAAGAAATTTGACTTGGGCCAAGATATTATAGATTTTACTGGTCATTCTCTTGCACTGTATTGAACTGATGGCTACTTAGATCAGTTATGTTGTGAAACCATTGATAGAATTAAACTTTACAGTGAGTCTTTGGAAAGATAGGGCAAGAGCCCATACCTTTATCCACTGTATGGCCTTAGAGAACTGCCACAAGGATTTGCCAGGCTAAGTGCTATTTATGGTGGTACCTACATGTTGAATAAACCAACTGAAGAAATAATTGTGCAGAATGGAAAAGTGGTTGGTGTAAAATCTGAAGGCGAGATCGCTCATTGTAAGCAGCTCCTCTGTGACCCAAGTTATGTAAAGGATTGGGTAGAAAAAGTAGGCCAGGTGATCAGAGTTATATGCATCCTCAGCCACCCCATCAAGAATACCAATGATGCCAATTCCTGTCAGATAATTATTCCACAGAACCAAGTTAATTGAAAATCAGATATCTATGTTTGCATGATTTCATCTGCACACAACATGGCAGCACAAGGGAAGTACATTGCAATTGTTAGTACAACTGTGGAAGCAGAAAAGAAATCAGACCAGCTTTGGAGTCATTGGAACTGAATGAACAGAAGTTTGTTAGCATCAGTGACCTCCTTCTACCAAAAGACTTGGGAACAGACAGCCAGATCTTTATTTCCCATGCATATGATGCTACAACTCACTTTGAGACAACCTGTGATGACATTAAAGACATCTATAAAAGGATGACAGGATCTGAGTTTGACTTTGAGGAAATGAAGTGCAAGAAAAATGATATTTATGGGGAAGACTAACAGTAGTAAATGTTAATAGCTAATCAGGACAAATTTAAAATTTGGCAAATAATACATATTGTACGAAATCAATATTGTAAGGCCTGCTTTTGTAATCACAATGGAGATTGAAGATTGCTATACTAGTTAATATTCCCCTTCATCTCTCTAATCTTAAGTATTAACTTCTCATGGAGTGGCTATTCAGATGGACTGGTTATTATTCTGTTCAGTTTAACCAAGCTGGGTTTTTCTAGTGAAGGAAGTTTTTGTTTTTGTTTTGTTTTTTTGTGGAACTGGCCCTTTCATTTGCCAGAGAAGGGCTTATTCCACTGAGCCATCTCCCCAGCCCCTGTGAAGGAAGTTTTTAAAAAGTCATGATACCAATACAGAACATGATACTGTATTTGTATCTTTTAATCAGTGTAGATTTTGCAGTTCTGTGCTTCGGCTGCTCAAGAGGTAGATCCATACAATGCATGCTGTGCCATCTTGACATTAAGGAGATTCTAAATTGAATATTCTCTACTTTTGCACAGCATCTGTACATTTTCCCTATTTACATATTTTGTGTTAAGTCAAATAATTATGCGCAGGGCCCACATAGTGTGGCCACGAGTTTGGTTCATGTGGACATGTACTTCTAACAAGACTCCAGACTAAGGGAGTGTATGGGGAAAGCCAGTCATCAGTTAACCTAGGAAAACTGAGAGCAGGGGAAAGAAACCTATCAATAAAGCAGGCAAAGTGTAGAACCATCTTTTGTATCCCAGGTGCGGCTTCTTCGATGGACCAAGCTGCAATGCAGTATTGATTTGACAGAGCGTCTATTTCAATGTCTGTCTCAAAATGGCTCCAAATGATTTCTGTACTGCACAATAAAGCCAAACTCTGGAAACAAAAAAAAATCTATAATCTTTAAGAATTTGTTGGAGTTAGAAGACTGAGGGATGTGGGATCCTGAACAGACCCAGACCGCAGGCCTGGCAGTGAGTGACATGAAATGGGGCTGTGGGAACCTGAACAGATCCAGAGCACAGGCCCCACGAGTGAGTGAGACGACCTGGGCCAATGGGATCCTGAACAGACCCAGAGCGCAGGCCTGGCGAGTGAATGAGATGACACGGGGCCCAGGGATCCTCATTTGACCCAGGCTGCATGCAGACCCAGCACAGAACCCTTCAGCAGAACTCCCTGCAAAGAGGCTAGAGGCAAGACACACCCAGCTGATTCAGGAACAGAACATCTTGCCAGAGAGGCACAAAGGGTTCAACACTAACACCTGCAGCAGAAAGAAGTGGAGCACAGCAGCCAGATCCAAACACCCACCTGGAGGAATCTGAACTTCATAGATCCGGACCTGGTGCTAAGGTAATAACTCTATCTAAGCTCTACACCAAAGGTCAGAAGACAGGTATACAAAATGACAAAGACAAGGAACAAAATGCAGTCTCAGGCGCCGAGACCACCCAGTACAAATGCAGAAGACACTAGCACTGAGGAAACTGGAAATCACACACCAGATATCTCAGAAATAATAGTGTTGACAGTAAAGAATCAACTGCAGAAAGGTATACAAGAAATAATTTCAGAACTAAAAAATGTAGTGGTAACTATAATCAAAGAAGTACTAAGTGCTTCTCAAGAATACACTGACAAAAAAATAGAGGAGCATATAAAAATGATGGAACCCCTGAATAAACAATTTAGGAAAGAAATAGAATCAATGAAACAGGTTCAAAGTGATATACAGGAAATTAAAACCTCAATCACAAGCTGGCA